CTTCTGCAACATCTGCAGCTATAGAGGTAAGTTAGGCTTTGTTTTAACCTTTTTACCTGCCACTATGCAACAAACACTTGGCAGTAGTAATGGAAAACTCCAGGAAGCAGAAATAAAATTTAATCATTCCACAGTGACTGCAACTACAGAGGTAAGCTAGTCTTTGTCTTATCCCCTTTACCTGCCACCATGTAAACAAACTTTTGCCAGTAGAAATGGCAAACTCCAGGAAGTAGAAATGAAATTGAATTGTTCTGTAGTGACTGAAGCTACAGAGGTAAGTTAGGCTTTGTTTTAACCTTTTTACCTGCCATTATGTAAACAAACTCCTGGCAGAGTAAGTGTAAAACTCCAAGAAGTAGAAGTGAAATTGAATCATTCTGAAATGACTACAACTACAGAGGTAATTTAGGCTTTGTGTTAACCCTTTTATCTGCAACTATGTAAATAAACTCCTGGCAGTAGAAGTGGAAAACATCAAGAAGTAGTAGTGAAATTGGATTGTTCTGCAGTGATTGCAGTTACAGAGGTAAGTTAGGCTTTGTTTTAACCCTTTTACCTGCCACTTTGTAATCAAACTTCTGGCCGCTACAACATCCAGCAGTTTCTCTGCAGGCTTCAGGCTTTCTCGTAGGAGAGATTCAGGGGACTAGATGTTAGATTACTTCTTCATCTTTGTACCGGTCTCACTGTTGTGAAGGTGGGGGCTGTTGTATGATGAAAGTCTGTTTGAAGGATTAAGCCACCGTATCCAGTTAGCATATGTCAGTATTGGTATGATGTATGTCTCCCCATTGACATCCACTAGAACACTCGACTTTTATTTTACATCAAACATTTTACTCTTTCTTCTTCTGATGACAGCATCCTTTGAAAGCTTTCCTTCCTGATAAAGTGATATGGTACAATAGACACCAGAAGCCGGACCATCGTCCCAGGTTCATTCTAGCTGTTTTCATGGAACGAGTTATCTCTGATATAAGATGTTTCAAAAAGGAAAAGTTCCTTTTTCTCTTTAGCACACATAAAGCCGACCTTCAGGGGAACCACTACAAATAGAGATGAAATACATACAAGGGAGCTGCTTTTACCAGCTTTGGAATGTTGTCCATACAGTTCTGAGATGTACACAGCACAGCTGAATTAAAGCCACACTAAACTCTGGTTTAAAAAAAAACTCTTTTAGGTATGTTTTCTTAAGTCGGAAAAGTCCCTTCGGTTGCTCTTATCCTCCTCCAAATCCCCAAATTCCTAGGCTGTTGTGATCCAACTTTCTGTAAGAGGGAAGCTACGTTTGTTGTTCATGGTCTACTGTATGTAGGAACATATGGACTATAGCAGGGGTCTCCAAACTGCAGCCCAAGGGCCAGATGTGGCCCTTTGCTAGCCTTTATCCGGCCCTTGGGGCACTATTCCTCCCAATGGTATGAGGTACTATTCCTCCCACTGACACCAACAAAGAGGCACTATTTCTTACACTGATACCAATGATGGGGCACTATTCCTCCCACTGATACCAATGATGGGACACTATTCCTCCCACTGATACCAATGATGGGACACTATTCCTCCCACTAATACCAATGATGGGGCACTATTCCTCCCACTAATACCAATAATGGGGCACTATTCCTCCCACTGGTACCAATGATGGGGCACTATTCCTCCCACTGATACCAATGATGGGGCACTATTCCTCCCACTGATACCAATGATGGGGCACTATTCCTCCCACTGACAACAATGATGGGGCACTATTCCTCCCACTGATACCAATGATGGGACACTATTCCTCCCACTGACACCAATGATGGGGCACTATTCCTCCCACTGATACCAATGATGGGGCACTATTCCTCCCACTGATACCAATGATGGGGCACTATTCCTCCCACTGATACCAATGATGGGGCACTATTCCTCCCATTGACACCAATGATGGGGCACTATTCCTCCCGCTGATACCAATGATGGGGCACTATTCCTCCCACTGATACCAATGATGGGACACTATTCCTCCCACTGATACCAATGATGGGACACTATTCCTCCCACTGATACCAATGATGGGACACTATTCCTCCCACTGACACCAATGATGGGGCACTATTCCTCCCACTGATACCAATGATGGGGCACTATTCCTCCCACTGATACCAATGATGGGGCACTATTCCTCCCACTGATACCAATGATGGGGCACTATTCCTCCCACTGACACCAATGATGGGGCACTATTCCTCCCGCTGACACCAATGACGGGGCACTATTCCTCCCGCTGATACCAATGACGGGGCACTATTCCTCCCGCTGATACCAATGACGGGGCACTATTCCTCCCACTGACACCAATGATGGGGCACTATTCCTCCCGCTGGCACCAATGATGGGGCACTATTCCTCCCGCTGATACCAATGATGGGACACTATTCCTCCCACTGACACCAATGATGGGACACTATTCCTCCCACTGGCACCAATGATGGGGCACTATTCCTCCCGCTGATACCAATGATGGGACACTATTCCTCCCACTGACACCAATGATGGGACACTATTCCTTCCACTGGTACCAATGATGGGGCACTATTCCTCCCACTGACACCAATGATGGGGAATTATTCCTTCCACTGATACCAATCATGGGGCACTATTCCTCCCACTGACACCAATGATGGGGCACTATTCCTCCCACTGATACCAATGATGGGACATTATTCCTCCCACTGATACCAATGATGGGACACTATTCCTCCCACTGATACCAATGATGGGGCACTATTCCTCCCACTGATACCAATGATGGGGCACTATTCCTCCCACTGATACCAATGATGGGGCACTATTCCTCCCACTGACACCAATAATGGGGCACTATTTCTCCCACTAATACCAATAATGGGGCACTATTCCTCCCACTGATACCAATGATGGGGCACTATTCCTCCCGCTGATACCAATGATGGGGCACTATTCCTCCCACTGATACCAATGATGGGGCACTATTCCTCCCACTGACACCAATGATGGGGCATTATTCCTCCCACTGATATCAATGATTGGGCACTATTCCTCCCACTGACACCAATGATGGGGCACTATTCCTCCCACGGATACCAATGATGGGGCACTATTCCTCCCACTGACACCAACAAAGGGACACTATTTCTTACACTGATACCAATGATGGGGCATTATTCCTCCCACTGATACCAATGATTGGGCACGATTCCTCCCACTGATACCAATGATGGGGCACTATTCATCCCACTGATACCAATGATGGGGCATTGGTATTGGTATCCTCCCACTGATACCAATGACGGGACACTATTCCTCCCACTGATACCAATGATGGGGCACTATTCCTCCCACTGATACCAATGACAGGGCACTATTCCTCCCACTGACACCAATGACGGGGCACTATTGATGGGGCATTATTCCTCCCACTGATACCATTGATGGGGCACTATTCCTCCCACTGATACCATTGATGGGGCACTATTCCTCCCACTGATACCAATGATGGGGCACTATTCCTCCCACTGATACCAATGATGGGGCACTATTCCTCCCACTGATACCAATGATGGGGCACTATTCCTCCCACTGATACCAATGACGGGGCACTATTCCTCCCACTGACACCAATGACGGGGCACTATTGATGGGGCATTATTCCTCCCACTGATACCAATGACGGGGCACTATTCCTCCCACTGATACCAATGATGGGGCACTATTCCTCCCACTGATACCAATGATGGGGCACTATTCCTCCCACTGATACCAATGATGGGACACTATTCCTCCCACTGACACCAATGATGGGACACTATTCCTCCTCCTGATACCAATGATGGGGCACTATTCCTCCCACTGACACCAATGATGGGGCACTATTCCTCCCACTGATACCAATGATGGGACACTATTCCTCCCACTGATACCAATGATGGGGCACTATTCCTCCCACTGATACCAATGATGGGGCACTATTCCTCCCACTGATACCAATGATGGGGCACTATTCCTCCCATTAACTGCTTCAACGCCGCCCTGTAGCAGAAATACTGCTACAGGGCGGCACGGGTGCGCAAAATCACATATATATACAGGATTTTGCAGTTCTGGGTAGGGGGCGCAAACACCATTTGCGGCCAATCACCGGGTCCCGGCTGGCGATTCCCCGCTGGCACCAGGCGATCTCTGAGGATTTCAGACGGGAGAGAGACCTGCATGTAAACAACGCAGATCTCTCCCCTGTGAGATCCTGCACATTTCTTTGTATGGCTCTGCATAGCACAACCATACAAAGCAGTGTGCTTACAGTAAAACACACACAGCCAGGGGCGGACTGACCATTTGGAAACTCGGGCACTGCCTGAGGGCCCGGGGTCAGTAGGGGGTCCCATGAGATGCCCCTGGTACCTTTTTCATAGGCTTTTTTGAGTTTGGGCAAGGACACAGGGGCCCCATGATCCCCTATTGCCCGGGGGCCCCATGAGTTGGCAGTCCGCCCCTGCTGGGATGCACTAAAAAACGCACTAAAACACACCAAAAATGTCCCTATTTAAATTAAAGAAAAAGAAATACATAAAAAACACACTGGGATGCACTAAAAAAATGCGCAAAAATGCACTGGAACGCACATGTTCCTGTTTAGATAGAAAAGGGGAAAAAATGAACTGGAATGCATAAAAACGTACCGGGACTCACTAAAAAAAGGCGTAAAAAACGTACATGCAAAAACGCATCCGGAACGCATCTGACCTGCGTTTCTCTAGTGTGAACCGACCCTATGTGTTTGCGTTTGTGTTTTTATACCGCCTAAAGGTGAATGGGCCCCTTACACGTAATCTCCATTTATTGATGTATTGATACCGATCTGTAATCATTTGTCTTTTCTTTCTGCCCGGAGTTCTGCCTTAGAGTCCCTGGTGAAGGCGATTCCTCATGTGACCTGCGTTTGTGGTTGGTTGCAGGTGAGCGGGACCATGTACAACACAGGGAGGCACGTGTCGTTGCGGCTGGACAAGGAACATCTAGTGAATATATCCGGCGGGCCTCTCACCTACAGTCATCGCTTAGAAGAGATCCGCTTACATTTCGGCAGTGAGGACGCCCAAGGCTCAGAACACCTTCTTAATGGACAGGCCTTTTCTGGGGAGGTAAGGCAGCTGTGTGCGTTTATCCGGGTTACAAAGAAAACTGCGTGCAGATTTGTAGCGGCGTTATCCCGCAAATAGGTATCGCCACCGCTGGCGCTGAAACAGGATCCGCGGGAGAGAAAGGACTCCGAATTCAGAAGCTGATCACTGGGTAAAGGTAACCTGTCTTGGCTCACACCCATGCGTTTTTTTTAGTGAATTTTGCAGAAACGCACTGCAGTCCATTTAACATGATTTCCTATGGGACACGTTCACATCTATGCGTTCTTCAGCCAATGCGTTTTTTTGGAAAGGGTCGGGGACTTTTTTAATCACAACACAGTGCCTTTTTGGTTCAATGGACATGCAGCACAAACGCAGGTAGGGCGTTTTTGATGCACTTTTTATGCATTTTTTTTGGCCAATAGGAAAGTATTGACTTTGATGCAACTTTGATGCGGCTTTGGATGGATGGGACTTTGATGCAACTTTGATGCGGCTTTGGATGGATGGGACTTTGATGCGACTTTGGATGGATGGGACTTTGAATGGATGGGACTTTGATGTGACTTTGGATGGATGGGACTTTGATGCGACTTTGGATGGATGGGACTTTGATGTGACTTTGGATGGATGGGACATTGATGCGACTTTGGATGGACGGGACTTTGATGCGAATTTGGATGGATGGGACTTTGATGTGACTTTGGATGGACGGGACTTTGATGTGACTTTGGACGGATGGGACTTTGATGTGACTTTGGATGGACGGGACTTTGATGTGACTTTGGACGGATGGGACTTTGATGTGACTTTGGATGGGCGGGACTTTGATGTGACTTTGGACGGATGGGACTTTGATGTGACTTTGGATGGACGGGACTTTGATGAGACTTTGGACGGATAGGACTTTGATGTGACTTTGGACGGACGGGGCTTTGATGTGACTTTGGATGGACGATACTTTGATGCGACTTTGGATGGACAGGACTTTGATGTGACTTTGGAGGGCTGGGACTTTGATGCGACTTTGGATGGATGGGACTTTGATGCGACTTTGGATGGATGGGACTTTGATGCAACTTTGGATTGATGGGACTGTGATGTGACTTTAAACCCTGGTTCCCACCGGTGCAACATGCGATTTACAAATAGCACCTGAAGTGGCATCTAATGTATCTCTGTGGCACTGTCTTTGTCAGTGCGATTTGAAGTAGTGCAATTTCAAAAGTAGTTCCTGCGCTACTTTTTTCCAATTTCATTGCAACTTGCATTGACTTCTGTTAAATGAAGTCGCAAGTCGAAGTGAAATCAGAGATACAAATTGCACTGATCTGTGGCTTTTAAATAGCACTACTTCAAGTGAAGTAGAGTGATTTCAACATCGCATTCAGTGTGAAGCAGGGCTGATTTTAAAGTCGCATTCAGTGTGAACCAGGGCTGAACTTTGGATGGGTGCGACTTTGATGCAACTTTTTTTTCCCTAATAGGAAAGTATGACAGTGCTGTTCGTGTAGTGTGACTTTGATCCAACTTTACACTCTCTGGCACTCAAAGTCGCACCCATCCAAAGTCGCATCAAAATCGTATCCAAGTCGCACCCATCCAAGTGGCATTCAAGTTGCACCTATCCAAAGTCACATCCAGGTTGCACCCATTCAAAGTCGCATCCAACTCACACCCATCCAAATTCCCATCCAAGTCGCACCCATTCAAAGTCACGTCCAAATCACATTTATCCAAAGTCACATCTAAGTCACATTTATCCAAAGTCACATCCAAGTCGCATTTATCCAAAGTTGCATCAAAGTTTCACCCTTCCGAAGTTGCATCCATGTTGCACCTATCCAAAGTCACATCCAAGTTACACTCATTCAAAGTCGCATCCAAGTTGCACCCCCATCCAAATTCCCATCCAAAGTCACATCCAAATCACATTTATCCAAAGTCACATCTAAGTCGCATTTATCCAAAGTCACATCCAAGTTCCATCCATCCAAAGTTGCATGAAAGTCTCATCAAAATCATACTAATCAAGGGGAACATCAAAGTGGCATCAGTCAATACTGTCCTATTGACAACACCCCCCCCCCCCCCCCCAGCAAACCGCATCAAAAACGTATGTTTAAAAATGCAAAGTACACTGCAAAATGCACAGGAAAAACGCATGACTAAGAACACGCAGAGGTGTGAGCCCAGCCTTATGCGGGCCATAGATGGGTCGAAAACTGGCCATTTTTTTTTTAAAAAAGAAAAATCAGTCGTTCAATAGGCCGATGTTACCACCAATGGTGAAAAAAAAAAAAAAATTGGCCGATTGTCGTCCCGTCTACGGCCGGCATTTAATTACTTCTGTCCCTGCAGAGAGATCTGCTCTTATATTTGACATGAAAAAGTATTGCGGTTGCAACAATGTATCTATTTGTATCCATTTCGGATACAGATGTTTTTATTCGGATACAAATAGATACATTGTTGCAACTGCAATACTTTTTCATGTCAAATATAATAGCAGACTGGAATTCTTCTTCTTCTTCTTTTTCTTCTTCTTCTTTTTCTTCTTTTCCTTTTCTCCTTCTTCTTCTTCTTTTTCCTTCTTCTTCTTCTTCTTTTTCTTCTTCTTGCAGGTCACAGCTCATGCGCAGATTTTATATCGGTAAAACGATCGGCCCGATTTGCCCATCATTGCCGGGAAAATCGGGCAATCGGCAAAATTGGACAATTATTTTTCAACTTTACCGATTAAAAAAAACCCCCGAAAAATGGCCGACCAATTAACCCACTAACGGTATGAAAATTGGCCGATTTTTTTTTTCGGCCGATTTTCGACCCATCTATGGCCTGCATTAGGGCTCGTTCACATGCTTTGATCTCTGAAGAGCGATTTGCGTTCATATCAATCTTCAGAAAGCAATTGGCAGACAGTGATAAGACGTATCACCTGGGCACCGCCTGCTTTAACCCCTTCATCCCTGCACTAGTGCCATGAAAAGGTTAAATCAGGTCATCAGGAGGCGATACAAAACTTCCCCGCCACCTGTCACATTCTCTCTGAAGAATGCAAATCGCTCTTCAGAGAGCAAAGTATATGTGAATGATTCTTTAATTATTTGTTTTTATAACTATTTTTTTTTCCAATATTATTTTTACTTTTTTTAACCCCTTGCCCTCCACAGGATTTACCCCCCCCCCGACCAGGCCATTGTTTGTGATATGGTGCTGCATTACTTTAACTGACAATTGCGCGGTCATGCAACCCTGCACCCAAATGAAATTTATGTGCTTTTTTTCCCATAAATTGAGCTTTGTTTTGATGGTATTTGATTGCCTGTGCATTTTTAATTCTTTTTGCTATGAACAAAAAAAGACCGACAATTTTGAGAAAAAAAAAGAATATTTTTGACTTTTTGCTATAAAACATGTCCAGTAAAAAAATTAAAAAATCAAATTTTGTCATAAATTTAGGGCAAAATGTATTCTGCTCCATGTCTTTGCTAAAAAAAAAATCCCAATACGTGTAAATTAATTGGTTTATGCAAAAGTTATAGCGTTTACAAATGGCGGTATAGATACTGGGATTTTTTTTTTATACCAGTAATGGCGGGGATCAGTGACTTATAGCGGGACTGCGGCGGCATTCTGACACTGGGGGGGGAACTGACTTGGTGTCACTGACATCCCTAGTGACACCAGTACAGTGATCAGTGCTAATAAAAAGCAGACACTGTACTAATGGCACTGGGCAGGAAGGGGTTCACATGACGGGTGATTAAAGGGTTAACTGTGTGCTGTGTGGTGTTTTACTATGGAAGCACACTGCTTTGTATGGCAGTGCTGAAGCTGACAGGGGAGAGATCTGTATTGTTTACATACAGACCTCTCCCCTGTCAGTGATGTTCAGGGATCGTGCTGGGTGCCGGTGGGGATCGACAACTGAGGCAGCCAATGGTGGCGCAGGTAGGGCGCGTGTGTGCCCCCTACCTGGAAATGCAAAATTGTATGTGTGTGTGTGTGATTTTGCGCCGCCCTGTAGCAGTATTTCTTCTATAGGGAGGCGGGAAAGAGGTTGACAACCCTATTGGGTGCTTTGATGAAATATCAGGCAGATCCTGATATAAAATATAAAAAAATTGAAAAAAATGTGTACCTTTTTTTTTGTACTGTCACCAGTCACTGCCCCTGATCACCGCCACACCAGTTATATGATGAAGCTGTATTGCCACAGGGTGGCTGGTGATATGTAAAAAAAAAAAAAGTTAATTTTTTTTTTAATTTCTTTATTTTCCAAAAAATTATGACAAAAAAATTACAACTTCAAAAAACTCGCTATGCCTCTTTCTAAATACCTTGGACTGTCTACTTTGCAAAAGGGAAATTTGTACTGTTTTGGGCCTCAAGAACTGAGATCAGCCGTCAGTAAATCAGGATGGATCGATTGTCAGATATATCCCATAGTTTGTGACCTCTAGGGCTCGTTCACATTTGTCTTTATTTCTAACTCTTGCCAAACGCCCTTATACAGGGGCGGACTGACAACTCATGGGGCCCCCGGGCAATAGGGGATCATGGGGCCCCTGTGTCCTTGCCCAAACTCAAAAAAGCCTATGAAAAAGGTACCAGGGGCATCTCATGGGGGCCCCTACTGACCCCGGGCCCTTAGGCAGTGCCCGAGTTTTCAAATGGTCAGTCCACCCCTGCCCCTATAGCGTTTGACAGGCATTTGGGAAGCATTTTTAACACTCCCCAAACGCCCTATGTGCGGTTTTGAGGCGGTTGATAGGTATTTTCCAAGCGTTAAAACCGCACCACAAACGCCTATAATGAGGTTAAATGGTACTAACGCTCCACAAACGCCCCGCAACCGCGTCACAAATGCCTATAATGAAGTTAAATGGTATTAACGCTCCGCAAATGCCTTGCAACCGCGTCACAAACGTCTCCCAGGCGTTTAATTAGCCACACCATAGGCTTGAATGGGAGGCTTCAACTCCTCCTGACTTGACAAGAGGCGTCAGTTTTGCTGCAACGCGATGCTAACGCTTCAGTATGAACAGCACTGAGTGCTGCTATGTGCAGAATTTTCATAGGTGTTTGAGAAGCGTTAAAAACGCTTCCCAAACGCCTGTCTGATGCCTGCTGACAAAGCTAGTGTGAACTGAGCCCTATAACCAGGGGCGGACTGACCATTTGGGAACTCGGGCACTGCCCGAGGGCCCGGGGTCATTAGGGGGCCCCATGAGATGCCCCTGGTACCTTTCATAGGTTTTTTTGGGTGTGGTTTGAGTGTGGGCAAGGACACAGGGGCCCCCATGATCCCCTATTGCCCGGGGCCGCATGAGTTGTCAGTCCACCCCTGCCCTATAACTTTCCTGCAGACTATATAATAAATACTGATTTGGGTTATTTTCACCATAGAAATTTAGCTGAACATATTTTTACCTAAATTTATGAAGAAAGGTTATTTATTTACAAAATTTAAAACAGAAACTAAGAAAAACATGTTTTTTTCAAAAAAAAAAATTTCTGTTTATTTAGCAAAAATAAAAATAAAAAACCCAGTGGTGATTAAATACCACCAAAAGAAAGCTCTAGTTTGGTGGAAAAAAATGCTAAAAATGTATTTTGGGTACAGTGTTGCATGACCGCGCAATTGTCATTTAAAGTGCAGCAGCGCTGAAAGCTGAAAATCGTCCTGGGCAGGAAGGGGGTATAAGTGCCCGGCGATGAAGCAGTTAATTCCTGTTCATATTCTTGCACCATTTATCAAAGCGACTTTTTAACTCCGACTGATCTTCTCTTTCTTGCCATTGGTTAAATTTCTCTTCTTCTTTCTCCAGGTCCAGCTAATACATTACAACCACGAGCTGTACACCAATGTAACGGAGGCAGCGAAGAGCCCGAACGGCCTAGTTGTTATATCCATATTTATAAAAGTGAGTACGTTTCGGTAGCCGCGAGGTGTCATTACCGTGGCGGAGATTTTCATTCGTCCCGTGCCGAGGGCGCTGAGATGGCTCGACATAATCAGGAGCGTAAAATGGTTGCCTGAGCGTGTCCCCCCCCCACCCCATCTGCAGATAATCCGTGTGCGCCCCGTACACAGAATATTAGCTCTAAATGTTGTGTTCTGGCGGCGGCACACCGCTGTGTGAAATGACTTTGTGATCCTCGGCGTGACGTCTAAAAGGTAAAGCTGAACTCCAGGCAAACAGCTAAATCGAGCATTCAAATATAGAAGTCAGATAGCCAGCTCTATGCGCAAAAGGAAATGTATTTCTGTCCAGCCAAGTCTGAGATATACACAACCCCAGCAGACAGCGGGGCCAGTTCCATGACCACACTTCCGCCTACTGCGGGTAAGCAACACAACTTGGTCAAGCCCCGCCCAACCACCTGTGATTGGATGGTGAAAGCACAGCATAGAAATGAGTCATCCTTCTATGTTCAATCTGCTCTCTGTTCCTGTCCCCCGCCCACCCACCCTGTGATTGGATGGTGAAGGCACAGCATAGAAATGAGTCATCCTTCTATGTTCAATCTGCTCTCTGCTCCTGTCCCCGCCCACCCACCTGTGATTGGATGGTGAAGGCACAGCATAGAAATGAGTCATCCTATGTTCAATCTGCTCTCTGCTGTCCCCCCCCGCCCACCCACCTGTGATTGGATGGTGAAGGCACAGCATAGAAATGAGTCATCCTTCTATGTTCACTCTGCTCTCTGCTCCTGTCCCCGCCCACCCACCTGTGATTGGATGGTGAAAGCACAGCATAGAAATAAGTCATCCTTCTCTGTTCACTCTGCTCCTGTGAGAATGCTCCTTGCCAGCTCATGTGCACTACTGATTGGTCAAAGTGTGGCCCCTACCTCTCGCAGATACCAAGCCTACACCTGGTACTTATACTAGTCAGATAGGGCTTTACACGCTAAAGAACTTGTATTTCTGTCCAGCCAAGCCCGAGATATACACAACCCCAGCAGACAGCGGGGCCAGTTCCATGACCAGACTTCCGCCTACTGCGGGTAAGCAACACAACTTGGTCAAGCCCCGCCCACTCACCTGTGATTGGATGGTGAAAGCACAGCATAGAAATGAGTCATCCTTCTATGTTCACTCTGCTCTCTGCTCCTGTCAGAATGCTCCTTGCCAGCTCATGTGCGCTACCAATTGATAAAAGTGTTGCCCCTCCCTCTCGCAGATGCCAAGTATACACCTGGTACTTATACTAGTCAGATAGGCTTTACACGCTAAAGAACTTGTATTTCTGACCAGCCAAGTCTGAGATACACAACCCCAGCAGCCAATGGGGCCAGGTCCGTGACCACACTTCCGCCTACTGCGGGTAAGCAACACAACTTGGTCAAGCCCCACCCACCCACCTGTGATTGGATGGTGAAAGCATGACTGAATGAAAATTATTATATTATAATGACTGTATGATAATGACAATGACTGTATGATAATGACTGTATGACAATTATTATATTTATAATGACTATATGATAATGACTGAATGACAGTGACTGGATGACAATTATTATATGATAATGACTGGATGACAATGACTGTATGATAATGACTGAAAGACAATTATTATATGATAATGACTGGATGACAATGACTGTATGATAATGACAATGACTGTATGATAATGACTGTATGATAATGACTGGATGAAAATTATTATATGATGACTGTATGATAATGACTGTATGACAATTATTATATGATAATGACTGTATGATAATGACTGGATGATAATGACTGTATGACAATGACTGTATGATAATGACTGTATGATAATGACTGGATGATAATGACTGGATGATAATGACTGGATGACAATTATTATATGATGACTGTATGATAATGACTGTATGATAATGACTGTATGACAATTATTATATGATAATGACTGTATGATAATGACTGGATGATAATGACTGTATGACAATGACTGTATGATAATGACTGTATGATAATGACTGTATGATAATGACTGGATGACAATTATTATATGATAATGACTGTATGATAATGACTGTATGATAATGACTGTATGATAATGACTGGATGACAATTACTATATAATAATGACTGTATGATAATGACTGAATGACAATGACTGTATGATAATGACTATATGATAATGACTGGTTGACAATTATTATATGCTAATGACTGGATGATAATGACTATATAATAATGTCTCTATCAGGGTTTCTCAACTAGGGTACCTCCAGAGGTTGCTAGGGGTTCCTTGAGCAATAAGCAATATCCGCCTCTCAGATAAGTTCCCACTTACACCATTAATATTTTTATCTATTTATAAGGTGGTAATTCTTCTCAATGACCACAAATGTAAGGAACATTCTCTTCCCACTGACCATCGCACTAATGTATCCTGAGCTGTAGATTCAGTAATTTTTGGCAGGGGTTACCCAAGACCTAAAAGTAATTTAAAGGGTTCCTCTGTGTTGAAAAAGTTGAGAAAAGCTGGTCTATATAACAATGACAATGACTATAACATAATGACTATATGATAATGGCTGTATGATATTGACAATTCGATAATAACAATATAACAATGCCTGTATGATAATGACTATGTAACAATGACTATATGACAGTGACTATATAACAGTGACTATATAACAATGACTATATGACAATGACTATATAACAGTGACTATGTAACAGTGACTATGTGACAGTGACTATGTAACAATGACTATATGACAGTGACTATATGACAGTGACTATATGACAGTGACTATATGACAATGACTATATAACAGTGACTATATGACAGTGACTATATGACAGTGACTATATGACAGTGACTATATGACAATGACTATATAACAATGACTATGTAACAATGACTATGTGACAGTGACTATATGACAGTGACTATATGACAATGACTATGTAACAGTGACTATGTAACAGTGACTATGTAACAATGACTATGTAACAATGACTATGTAACAATGACTATATGACAGTGACTATATGACAGTGACTATATAACAATGACTATGTAACAATGACTATATGACAGTGACTATATGACAGTGACTATATAACAGTGACTATATAACAGTGACTACATAACAGTGACTATGTAACAATGACTATATAACAATGACTATGTAACAGTGACTATATGACAGTGACTATATGACAGTGACTATATAACAATCACTATATAACAGTGACTATATGACAGTGACTATATAACAGTGACTATATGACAGTGACTATATAACAGTGACTATATGACAGTGACTATATGACAGTGACTATATAACAGTGACTATATGACAGTGACTATATGACAGTGACTATATAACAGTGACTATATGACAGTGACTATATAACAGTGACTATATGACAGTGGCTATATGACAGTGACTATATAACAGTGACTATATGACAGTGACTATATGACAGTGACTATATGACAGTGACTATATGACAGTGACTATATAACAGTGACTATATGACAGTGACTATATGACAATGACTATATAACAGTGACTATATAACAGTGACTATATAACAATGACTATATAACAGTGGCTATATGACAGTGGCTATATGACAGTGGCTATATGACAGTGGCTATATGACAGTGGCTATATAACAGTGACTATATGACAGTGACTATATGACAGTGACTATATGACAGTGGCTATATGACAGTGGCTATATGACAGTGGCTATATAACAGTGACTATATAACAGTGACTATATAACAGTGACTATATGACAGTGACTATATAACAGTGACTGTATGACAATGACTATATGACAATGACTATATAACAGTGACTATATAACAATGACTATATAACAGTGACTATATGACAGTGGCTATATGACAGTGACTATATAACAATGACTATATAACAGTGACTGTATAACAGTGACTATATGACAGTGGCTATATAACAGTGACTATATAACAGTGACTATATGACAGTGACTATATAACAGTGGCTATATAACAGTGACTATATAACAGTGGCTATATAACAGTGACTATATAACAGTGACTATATAACAATGACTATATAACAGTGACTATATAACAGTGACTATATAACATGGCTATATAACAGTGACTATATAACAGTGACTATATAACAGTGACTATATAACAGTGACTATATAACAGTGACTATATGACAGTGACTATATAACAGTGACTGTATGACAATGACTATATGACAGTGACTATATAACAGTGACTATATGACAGTGACTATATAACAGTGACTGTATGACAATGACTATATAACAGTGACTATATAACAGTGACTATATGACAGTGACTATATAACAGTGACTGTATGACAATGACTATATAACAGTGACTATATAACAGTGACTATATGACAGTGACTATATAACAGTGACTGTATGACAATGACTATATGACAGTGACTATATAACAGTGACTATATGACAATGACTATATGACAGTGACTATATAACAGTGACTATATAACAGTGACTATATGACAATGACTATGTAACAGTGACTATATAACAGTGACTATATAACAATGACTATATAACAGTGACTATATGACAATCACTATATGATGATGACTAGTCAGTGCCGCAGACTAATGACATGAGAAGCCAAGCATAATGTCATGCATAATAAATGATAATCAATATTTTATGGCCCGCGATGTCTATGTCCTGTTAGTGGCGTCCTGACTGATGGTGACTTGGAGTTTGCTGTCCAGCTAAAGTGACGGATTTGCTGTGTTTATGTGATTACTTGTAACATCCTTTTTCCCTTCTGTTTGCCCTCAGGTTACAGATTCATCCAATCCTTTCCTAAACCGAATGCTTAACAGAGATACTATAACAAGAATAACATATAAAAGTAAGTATCTGTTTAGCTGCCAGTCATTGCTGACCCTCTTGTGAAAATGCTGCTTGCTTGGCTGTCCCTGGCTTGAAGTATATGTAAATCCTAATCATCAACTTCTCTTATTTGCTTATGTTTGGTCCATTAAATGTCCAATTGAAAGTGTTTTGTTATATCTGTCTGAAAAGTGCAAAAAAACTACGATCCTGCCAGAAATCTTGTAAGCTGAAATCTTCCTGTGCACACTGCCTTTGTTGTACTTTCATCAGTTGCAGTGTTCCCAGCTATCTGTTTGGACTACAGAAGACATACCCTCTTGCTTTGAAGGAGAGAGGATGGTGTTCTGTAGTCCTGTCTTAGGATAACAACACTGATACTCCATGGATACAGTACTGTATTGAGCGATGTCACCCCAGGTTAGGAAATGTGTGTCTAGCAAGATCATCAGATGAAACTAATAGATTGTTCCTGGGCTTAGACATTTTTTAAGGGCACACTACATTGAAAAACATTGTATTCTGGTAACTGCATGGAGTAATACCCATAATCAGGGCCAGGACAAGTCGAAGGCAAAAGAGTGAACCTGGGCCCTTTCCCATAAGCTGTGAACTATTGCAACAGCATAACTTGCAGGTTCTGCCCATTCTGCACCCCCTTCTGCTGAAACACCCAAGGCTACCACCAGAGGCGTAACTAGAACCTTCAGAGCCCAAATGCAAGAAACCATGAAGGGCCCCTGACACACACCCCCTACTCCCCATCCCGGTTTCCCCTCCGAGCCCAGGGCTTTTTTCTCCCATCGTTGGGCCCTTTATTACTGTCCTGCAGTGGGCCCCTTCCTGCTGTCTTGGGTGGCTTTTCTTTAAAAGCCCCCCAACATCAGAGTCCACAGAGTTTACCCTTTACATCTGAATCCACAGAGTTCCTCTTACATCTGAATCTGCAAAATTCCCCTTACATCTGAACTTGCAGAGTTCCCTTACACTGTAAAGGGGGACACTGCAGACTTTGATGTAAGGGAGAACTCTGGGGACTCTAATTTAAGTGGGAACACTGAGAACTCTATTATACGGGAGGAACTCTGATGTAAGGGGGAAGGCAGCAGACTCTGTTGTAAAGGGGAACTCTGATATAGGGAGATCTCTGGTAACCCCCATTTACTTCAGAATTCCCAGCATTTCCCTTTAAATAAGGTTCCCAGAGCCCCCTTACATCAAAGTCCGCTAAGCCTCCTTTTACGTCAGATTCTGCAGAGCCCCCCTTTACATCAGAGTCCGCAGAGCCCCCTGTTACATCACAGTCTGCAGAGCCCCCCTTTACATCAGAGTCTGCAGAGCCCCCCTATACATCAGAGTCTGCAGAGCCCCCCTATACATCAGAGTCTGCAGAGCTGCCGTTACATGATAGGCTGCAGAATTGCCACTTACACTGTAAGGGGGAGCTCTGTGGACTCTGAAATGTAAAGGGGAACTCTGATGTAAGGGGTGCTCTGGGAACCCTGATTTAATGGAGGCTCTGATGTACAGTAAGGGGGCATGCTGTGGACTCTGGTGTAAAGGGGTATTCTTATGTAAGGGGGTTTCTGCTCACCAAAGTCCCCCTTTACAAAGTCTACAGAGCACCCCTTACATCTGAATCCTCCTTACATTAGTATATTCATTCAGAGGCTGAAGAGAGAAGGGAGACTTCACTCACAGTGAATGGATGGAGGTTTAGGCATTGGTTGTCTGCACCTTTCATCATCTGGCTGCTGGGCTTCAAACTTCCTGCCCATACGTCCCCTTTCCTGAGGCACAGCACTTCTGGGGATTGGTGGGGGCGGGGCAGACACAGGAGGAGAGGGGCAGGAGGAGGAGAAGATCAGCTCTCTCTCTTCTCTCCTGCCCATACGGGAGGGGGAGAAGAAACTGTCAGTTCTGGCTCTGGGCTGTGTGAGAGAGACACTCCAGCCAGCAACCCCACTGGGGAGCCACAGTGCAGTCTCTTGCCCCCAACAGTGGTGAAATGCAAGGGCCCAGTCACAAGTGTGACCTTTGCCGCCATGATAGTTCCACCACTGGCTACAGCCTCTTCTGCCTACTCCTCAGTATATGAATTCCTTTTTTTTCTTTTTGTTTTTGCACATTCCAGTGATCTTTATCCCCTTTGTTCAAAAAGCTTTGCCTTTTGTACTTTAACAAACCCATTATGATTATTTCTTAGATACACAGAATATAACTGGATATAACATTTATAGGTAAAGTTGATCCAGGGAATATCCGATTGCCTCTCGGGGGATCAGGAAGGACTTTTTCCCCTGCAGGAGCAAATTGGATCATGCTTTGCTGGGTTTTTTTTGTCTTCCTCTGGATCAACTGTGGGTATAGGATTATAACTTTTTTTTTTTTTTATGGTTGAACTGGATGGACTTTTGTCTTTTTTCAGCCAGACTAACTATGTAACTATGTAACAAGCCCATTATGATTCTTTCCTAGATACACATGTAATATAACTGGATACTAACATTTATAGGTAAAGTTGATTCAAAGTTTAAATATCCGATTGCCTCTCGGGGGATCAGGAAGGACTTTTTTCCCTGCGGGAGCAAATTGGATCATACTTTGCTGGGGGTTTTTTTTTGCCTTCCTCTGGATCAACTGTGGGTATAGGATTATAACTTTTTTTTTTTTATGGTTGAACTGGATGGACATTTGTCTTTTTTTTTCAGCCAGACTAACTATGTAACTATGTAACAAGCCCATTATGATTCTTTCCTAGATACACATGTAATATAATTGGATACTAACATTTACAGGTAAAGTTGATTCAAAGTTTAAATATCTGATTCCCTCTCGGGGGATCAGGAAGGAATTTTTTCCCTGTGGGAGCAAATTGGATCGTGCTTTGCTGGTTTTTTTTTTGTCTTCCTCTGGATCAACTGTGGGTATAGGGTTATAACTTTTTTTTTTTTTTTTATGGTTGAACTGGATGGACTTTTGTCTTTTTTCAGCCAGACTAACTATGTAACAAGCCCATTATGATTCTTTCCTAGATACACATGTAATATAACTGGATACTAACATTTATAGGTAAAGTTGATTCAAAGTTTAAATATCCGATTCCCTCTCGGGGGATCAGGAAGGAATTTTTTCCCTGTGGGAGCAAATTGGATCGTGCATTGCTGGGTTTTTTTTTGCTTTCCTCTGGATCAACTGTGGGTATAGGATTATAGCTTTTTTTTTGGTTGAACTGGATGGACTTTTGTCTTTTTTTTCAGCCAGACTAACTATGTAACTATGATTATCCAAAGCTGATCAGCTAGACCAAGCCTGGGACAAGGGGTGGGCAGGAGAGGCAGCCACCACGGGTACAATGGGGGTGTAAAGGGGGGGGTGTCCCCCAACCGTACGCTTCATAGTATTGGCTGGCAACCAGCTGGCCATAGCTGCATGTCAACTTTTGATGTCAATATGCCCACTCTCCACCCCATCTGTCCACAGCTGCCATGCAAAAAAAACACTGAACATGTGCATCGTCTTTCTAGCTTCTAGAAAGATAGAAAGAAAGCAATGGGCCATGCATGTGCCAACCATGAGCAGCCGGAGCGAGGGGGTGAAGAATGGGCACAGGGCAGTACACCCATTATTTGTCATACATTAGTGGGCCGTAGAGAGGGGGGAGTGCTGTTCTCATCCCTGCCCTGGGTGCCAGACAAACCTGTTCCAGTTCTGAAACTGAAGCATGTAACAGAAAAGGCTCAAAATCCCATGAGGTCCCTTTAAAGTTGAAAAGAAAAAGAAAAAAGCCGAATAAAGAATGAGACGTCTACAGAAGCTACAATAGATAGAAGAGGAGGGAGCGACATATTCACAATAAAAACAAAATGAGTCACTCGTCAATAGCACAGCATGAGTCTCGTATAAGTAGCTGTAAAACCTAGAATATAATTAGCAATGTTATACATTTCCTTAATTCGTGGTCTCTGTTCCAAGTCAGTAATTACTGAGCCTCTACCTAAGTGTGTATATTTGTGCATAATGATGACCATTATCTGGATTTACGTATGGAAGGAAAATATGCTCCAACATCTGTTCTAACATCTGATTTTAAAGTGGAACTGTCAGGAGACATATGTGGCACTGATGACCTTCTAAAAAAAAAAGAAAATGCTCTCTTGCTCGTCAGTACACTCTGGGGGCGATTCAATAAGGCTTTTGCGTCACGTTTCTGGTGGGGTGTATGTAGACGGAAGTCTAGAACCAAATTCATAAAAGCCCTGCACCATTTTCATTGTTGCAGATGCAAAAGACAAATTAAAATTATTTGCGACATTTTTATCGCATGGCGTTATTGTTGCAACAAAATCATACCACTGCTATATCGGAGATAAGGAAAGTGCTGCTAAAAAAGACCCCTTTGCAGTTGGAGTAAATCGTGGATTGTTTCAATTTTGCCAAAAAATTTGTCTTAAAATAGTATTAAACACTCATGGTTTTTTTTAGTTCTAATGCATTGAGCACACCAAATTAACAGTTCTCTCTCAGTGCTGCTTTCCTGAACTTCCAGTCTTCACAGGAAAGAGTTAACAGTGGATAGTGCAGTCTCCAGGCAGTCTGTTAGCTTGGAGAAGAGAGGGGAAGGAGAAGGAAAAACAGGGGAGTGTTTTTCCATCCTAGGCTATGGGGCTGTGTGTTTTCTATTGATGCACACAGTGTAGGGAGACACAACTCTAGTCCCTGCATGGAGGGGTGGCTCAATGAGAAAGGACCAGGTCATGACCCTCAGGATCGACCCACCAGGAGGTGAGCAAGCTGGGGTCCAGTAGCAGATATAGCAGGTAGGGATCAAGCAGAAGCACAGTCAGTAAACAAGCCAAAGGTCGGTAACAAGGTGTTGCAGGTTGGGATTAAGAAGACGTGTAGGCAAGGAACAGGCCAAAGGTTGGTAACAAATGACTGCGGGTTGGGATCAAGAAAAAGCATAGGCAAGGAACAAGCCGAAGGTTGGTAAGAAACGACTAGGGGTTGGGTCCAAGCGGAAGTGTAGTTAGTGAACAAGCCAAGGTAGGTAACCATTAGTAGTGGAGATAAGGACAGCTGCAGATAAACAAAGATATCAGCTGGAGAGAGCTGGTATTAATTTGGCAAACAGAAAGTGCAAAAGGAAGTTCATGGGAGGAGAAAAGAGTTCAAGGTCCAAGAGAAACAAGACACAAGGAATCAGGCAGGAAGATGTCCAGCATCTCAGGTGGCCCAACAAGAAGGTATACTGCCAGACACAGCAGTGGTTGTAGGTTCAGATCCAGGTCCTGACACATGTACACCGTACCAACGTACATGTATCTGTGGCTGGTTCCGCCATTTGTTGCACCACCATAAGACAGATTTCTAAAGAGTATCTACAACACTATTTATGAATTGTAGGGTATTTGTTCAAAAGTGTGTTTGCAGCTCTTCAAATTATTCAAGTGTTTCCAGTGAAGGGTACAATTAATACTACAGCATACAAAGACATATTACACAATTGTGCCCCTCCAACCCTGTGGCAACTGTACCCCGTGTACAAAGCCAACTCCATAAAGACATAGTTTGATGAGTTTGGTGTAGAGGAATTTGAGTGGCCTTCACAGAGCCCTGACCTCAACCCAATCGTTGGGATGAATTGGAATGCCAGGTCTTCTCATCCAACATCAGTACCTCTTTTGGTTGAATGGCCACAAATTCCCACAGACACCGTCCTAAAATCTTGTGGAAAGTCTTCCCAGAAGAGTGGTTGTTATAACTGAAAAATGGAACCAATTCCATAATAATGACCATGGTTTTGATGTGATCGGATGTCAACAAATGTGGCAGTATAGTTTATGTACCATGTATTTTGCTCAATAATAATGTACCATGGAAACTCCTTCTTGGAGAAGACCTTAATGGCCATGGTCTTGGAATGGAATATCCACCAAGGTCACATGGGTCTGATGGTCAGGTGTCCACAAATGTTTGTCCATAGAGTGTATTTCTAATCACTCTTACAAAGTACTGCATTGACTCCGATTTTGTATGTTTCTATAACAAAGCACCCTATAGTTCGATAATAAATAATAGAGATGTGTTGCTATGCATATATTCATCTTTACTTTCTTCTGCTAACCTTTGATTACTGAATATTGTATCTATCCTTAGATGATGCCTATTTACTACAGGGGCTAAATATAGAAGAGCTTTATCCCGAAACCTCTAGTTTCATCACCTACGATGGGTCAATGACCATACCGCCATGTTACGAGACAGCGAGTTGGATCATCATGAACAAACCCATCTATATTACCAGAATGCAGGTGAGCCATGTTGACTGTGATTATTGGTGTGCACCATATGTGTAAGGGACCGCCTGACAGCACCTCTATCAATCCCCTGGCAGAGCCTCCCCAGAGTGTGGAGTCTAAGCACCGGAGCACTTGTTCACCAGGGCCCCTGATGGTGGGGATGGACTTGGAGCACTCCGGCACCAGGTCGCAGCTGCTAGGTATCTCTAACAGGGGTAGAGGAGTCTGACAGGAGCTCCAGGGGGCTAAGAGTCTGATGTGAGGGAGCCTAGTGATCCCTGCGGGATGGATGGATGAGCTAAATCAGAGTCATACAGGCCGGGTCGGTAACTAGCGGGTGGGGAGGTACAAAACGGTAGGCAAAGGATAGTCGGGTCACACACAGGGTCAATACCAAAAGATCAGATTTAAAGGGGAACATCCAGGAGCAGAGTCAGGCAGGCCAAGGGTCAGGACAGGAGAAGGCAACAAGGTCAAACAATCCAGATCAAGATACTCACAACACAGGTAACAGCATACAAAGACCATTCAGCAACAAGTGTTTGTGCAGAGCTGGTTTAAATAGCCCGCCCTGCACCTGACAGGCATAGCCTAGGTCCTAGTGCCTGCCTAGTACTGTCAAGACGACGGGTGCGCCTGGGTCCTAGTGCCCTGCCACCTACACGTCATGGCAGACACCTACGCCTGTGTAGACCCATGCGTCGCGATGGTCCCTGACAGTATGTGTATTGAAGGCTGGATGAATGTTATTTTACTTAATTATTCCATATTATTTTTTGGTTTCCCATTCAGTGGCCCAGTTAAGGCATTACAAGGGGGAGGAATAACCGGGCAAATAATGTTTGAGATAATCTCCTGTTGGGGTTGTAGCCTGAAGGTGATGGGGATGTTATGTAAAAAGATTTTGCTCTTACCCAGATGATCGAAGCAATAGACCTATAATATGAAGGCAGATCTTGTTGTCATCAAGAAGACACATGTATGTATTTGTGGGGAGGTGCAGCATGGAGCGGCAGCAGTAAACATTCCAGTCCAGTTGCAGTAACAGAACTGTATGGAAGTTAAAGTTCAATAAAGCATAACTACTTAGCAGGAAGACAACCCATCCAGGTGCACTCACAGAATGTTGCAGCGAAGAGTATAACAGTAGGTCTCGGGTGCACCAATAGCATCTGCCTTGAAGGGCGGAATATGGTCTGGCCGGTCTGTACCCAAACAGGGAGGCTTCCAGGAAGAGTGGCGTGTCCCTTTTCTTTCCCCACTAACCTGGAATCTCTCCCTGCTGCTCCTTACTGTCCCCTACAGATGGGTGACCAGTCCCTACACTGCTCACACCAAGCCTGGTGGTCAAGGTCTTAACCACTTCCAGTCCGGACACTTTTACCTCCTTCCTGTCCAGACCAATTTTCAGCTTTCAGTGCTGTCACACTTTGAATGACAATTGCGCGGTCATGCAACACTGTACCCATATGAATTTTTTAGCATTTTTTGAGACAGATAAAGCTTTATTTTGGTGGTATTTATTCCCCACTGGGATTTTTATTTTTTTGCTATGTAAATTAGAAAGTCCAAAGATTTTGAAAAAAAGTGTTTTTCTTATAAAAGTTTGCAAATAAATAGTATTCCATCATAAATCTTGACCAAAATTTATTCCGCTATATTTTTAGTAAAAAAAAAATAACCCAATTAGTTTATAACCAAAAATTATAATTTTTAAACATTTTTTTTTACTTTTTTGTTTTTTTTATATTATTTATTTATTTTGTATTTTTTTTTACATACTCTCACCCTAGCAGTACAGTGTCACCATGGTGACACTGTACTACTTGTGGGGGGGTGATGAAGATTTTTTTTTTTTCTACACTGAGTGCTTTTACACCCATAAAGGCTGTAAAAGCAATCATTTCTCCTTCTCTCTAGCTGCATTCTTGCAGCCATTGAGAACTACTGAGTGAGCTGTGATTGGTCACAGCTTGTCACATGGTACAAGGCTGTTGTGAATAGCCCTGTACCATGTGACCGCTGTGATCGTTCACAGATTTCACACGTAGTAAGCAATGATGTCAGAAGTGACATCATGCTTACTACTACTCTGCATGTGATCACTGATTGGCCAATCAGTGATCACATGATCGGGACCTCGCACAGAGGTCCCGTCCGACGATTGTTGTTTCACTGTGTCCGGAGGACACAGCGGGCACCGGATCGCGGTCACCCGACCCTGCACTGCCACCGTCCGGCCGTTTATATAAAACGGTCGGACGGGAGGTGGTTAAATAGACTCTGCCTGACCCAAGATAGCTGCCAGCGTTACATGGGGTGCTAGCGTCCAATCGGATTGCTTCCCCAGTGACCCAGGAAACCATAGAGGAACCATGTTCCTCTTGACTTCCTCTCCTGCGGTTAAGTGCCACCTGCAGTGAAGAAAGTAGACTGCGCCTGCCTACATATTGTTAGAAGGAAGGAGGTAATCGAAGACCTTCACCCATAAATTCTCAATTGGCAGGAAACCTACTATAGGCTCCTGACTCATTGCTAGATGGTCACAAATACCTTTGTAAAAAATGTTGAAAACCATTTCTCATTTTCCTTCCACTTCACAATTATGTGCCACTTTGTGTTCTATCAAATCCCAATAAAATACATTTATGTTTTTGGTTGCAGCACAGTGACTACATGGTTAGCACTTCTGCTTGGCAGTACTAGGGGCATTGGTTGGAATCCCAACCACGGTCCCAACTGCCTGGAGTTTGCATGTTCTCCCTGTGCCTGTGTGGGTTTCCTCCGGGTACTCCAGTTTCCTCCCACACTCCAAAGACATGCTGGTAGGTTATGTAGATTGTCTAAATTGGCCCTAGTATGTATATGAATGTGAGTTAGGGACCTTAGATTGTACTCCCCTTAAGAGTTAGGGACCGATGTGAATGTACAATATATATGTAAATTGACGGAGCTATATAAGTACCTGTAATAAATAAATAATAACATGACAAATGTGGAAAATTTTAAAGGGTATGAATACTTCTTCAAGGCACTGTATATTCTCTGTAGATCGAATGCTATTCACTGAAAACTAAGTGGGAGTGGGAAAAATACCCCATTAATGTCACTAGATGGCGCTGAAGATCATACAAGATAAATTGGCTCCTCAGCTCCATCTATTGGCCACAACACAGTCACACAGTCTTTTGTCCAATGAACAACATTCAATCTGCAGAGCGTATAGCCTGAGAACATTCGATTTTGCCCCTTTCGCATAGAATGAATTGACATACAGTTTTGATGGATGAACAGCTGTGCACATTTTGTTTTTTATATTTATACCCCGAAAAGTAGGTAAGCTGTTTTCCCTACATGTATCTCAAGGCTTTATTTTACCCGGAGTGTACCTTTAACACATTTAATAACGTAAGCCTATAGCACACACAGCAAGAAGAATAATTGATTTTATTTTATGCTTGCTTAGCTAGAAAAGACTAAAATAATGAAGCAAGGAGCAGCCTACTGACCCCTGAGACTTTGTACCGTCGGCTGTGGTCTGTCAGATCACCCTCAGCGGGTAAAAGGCACGCATGTCAATCCGCGTCCGCGATAAAAGCATCAAACCTGATCGCCCCTCCGTACGATACGACAGGGAAAGTGTAAGAATGTTAAGGCATTAAGGCTGAATCAACAAAAAAGAAAAAAAACTCTCGTCTGCAGTGCGAGATTCGCTTCCGGCAAAGTAGGCTGTTGCCTGTGGCTCCTGTCTATCTGTCACTGAGCAGAGAATTTACATTGCAAAAGATTACCAGGTAATTCATTATTTACCAGCCCGTATCCTGAAAAGGGTTGGATCCAGCAAGGCAAAGTGTAGCTCCGGCTATATTAGATGTTTCTCTGGATATTATGTTAGGAAAACTTTCTGATACTTTAGTTACCGTCTGTTTTCATTCATAATTTATCCACGAGTGAACACAAAACACGATCAGACAGACGCCATTTGCTCCATCTCTTCAAAAAGAAATCTACGTTTGTCTTTTGTATTAAAAAGTCATAGTGGATATCAGGGTGGACTGACAACTCATGGGGCCCCCGAGCAATAGGAGATTCTGGGGCCCCTGTGTCCTCACCCACACTCAAACCACACTCAAAAAAGCCTATGAAAGGTACCAGGGGCATCCCATGGGGCCCCCTACTGACCCTGAGCCCTCGGGCAGCGCCCGAGTACCAGAATGGTCAGTCCGCCCCTGGTGGATATAAATCTGAGTAGCTTCACAAGTCTGCATGAATAGATTGCTGACATCTCACAATACACACCAACTAACTTTCATCATTTAAAAATCCATCCCTGAGCTCCAGTCCAGGGACTTTGCCTGGGCTCGGGTGATGTCATCAGTCTGCTGCAGGCAGAAAGAAGCATGTCCCCAGTCCCCTCCCCAATCAGACTGTACATAAAATTCCAGAGATGAGCGGCTGCAGCAGGGGCTGGTCTGTGTCAGACATTTGTGAAGATAGTCAAGAACTGCACCAGGTACCAGGATGTACATGATTGTGTCATCTCTGATCTGGCATCTCGGTCCGAGTAGTAGATGTGATCCTGGGTGATGCCTGAACCAACATGGAGTTGTTCAGGCTAGACATGTGCAGTTTGTTTCGTTCCGAATTTGGACCAATTTTTCATTATTCAGATATTCGGATGTCCCTGAATTTCCAATTTAAGATAGTAACGAATCCGAAATAAGGAAATAAAATTCTAATCGATTTCAACTCAGATTTGAATCAAATTTGAATCAAATTCAGATCAAATTCAAATACGAAAATAATAGAATAGAACATAAGAGAATAGAATGGGCAGCACAGTGGCTAAATGGTTAGTACTTCCGCCTGGCAGTACTAGGGTCATTGGTTCAAATCCCAACCACGGCACCACCTGCCTGGAGTTTCGATGTTCTCCCTGTGCCTGCGTGGGTTTCCTCCGGGTACTCCGGTTTCCTCCCACACTCCAAAGACATGCTGGTAGGTGAATTGGA